ATAACGCAAAAGTAGTTAACAATGCATAGCCAATAGAAAACAGCTGGGAAACCACCCACATGCTAAAAGTGCCTTGTCCAAACAATTCAATGCATTATTAACAAATGTGTCTGCAGAAATCTGCCCATTAATGATTTCCAAGCGGAAAATAGGGCTGGATCATGCATTTTCAGACTATCTGTACTGGATGTAGCAGGAGAGTAGGGTTGCATCCTTGTGCTCCCAGAGAACAGAATCATTCTTTGTCTATGTAAGGGTTGCTCAGAGCAGATCAGTTTAAGTTAACTGAAGGTATGGAATTGATGAGTAACCACAAAAACCCAGTCTGGACATTTTCACTGAAAACAAAGTTGCATAAATATGGTGCCTGTTCCAAGGATCTATTGGGTTGATCTTGGCCAGTGGCTAGGCACCCATCTAGCTGCTCTCTCAATCCCTCTCCACAGAAGAGGAACTCAAAAATCTTATGACTCAGAATGAATTAGATCATTTACCAATTACTGTCACAGAGAAAACAAACTTAGCTTGGGGACTTGAATCCCTTGCATTAGACCAAATTAACCCTACTAGCTGAAATGCCAATCAGCCTGAGCTGTGACCTTTTAGAGTGGACAGGTGTTGGAGTAAGGACATGCCTACACAGAAAAGTCTTTTCTCTTGGACAGAATAACAATTTCATGTTAATTGAGGTAAACTTTGAAGGAACTTATGCAGACACACTGGTTTGTATGTAAACCTCTTTTGTTTCCCATCAGTTTTGAACAACTACTATTTCTCTATAGAGTGTGAATTTTAAGAGCAGTCACTGTTCCAATGCAGGTAGTTAGAAGTAGCTTTTTCTGCAATATCTCTTGGGTCTGGTTTCCCTTGTTTGGGCAAGGCTCTTAGGAACTGTTCCAGCTACTGTACAAGAAAATTTTGAGGGCAGAAAATTCTGAGTTTCACTGGTACCTTTGTAGAGCTTCACATTCTAGGGTAACTAAAATAAACAAAGGGTTTTATTTTCAGAGTTCTTTACAAGACCACCCATAGTTTAGGAAATAAAAAAATACAGTGATGATTGTAATAATCCTCTGTACAGACCTGTGATCATCTTTTAGTGTTTTGGAATTTTGCATAAATTAGTAGCTAAAAATGTCTACATGAGGTCAGATGGGTCTGTCTACCTAAGCCAGTGTCCCACCTAAAACAGTAGCCAAAACACCAAGTTAGCTTAGCCTAGTATGACATATTCAGCTTTCAGGATATTTAACACTCCAAGAAGCCATGCAAACATTTTCTGTCCAGAACAGACATTGAGTAACCACTGTGAAAATACTGGAAAAGCATCCTCCTCAGGTTTCTGGTGCGCTTCCCAGTGACCAGGGTCACACCAGGCTATGCCCCATCCCTCTTCCCGCCTCCTGGTTTTCAATGAAATAACATGGGTCAGTAGCAGAAGGGAATAGTGAGAGCAATCAAGGTTAATGATCTGGGTAGCCAAGAGCTGTGGGGCCAGACATGCCCCATAACTTAGTTGCCACCTACACAACTAGAGATCTAGTCAGCAAAAGTCAGTCAGAACATTTCCATCATAGCCCTCTAGAAGCATTTCCTAACCATGACCTTTTATCTGATCAGAAGTAGCAGCCATCCCATGATGGAAGTCACAAACCCTTCATTTGTAGCTTAAGAGTCTCAGAGGGAAGTCGTTAATAGATCTGCATCAGATTAATAGTAGATTGACACAGAGTTCAAGCAACCTTGCTTAGTCACTAAAATAATGGTATTTTATTATCACAATAAACAGAAAGTGACAACTCCATACATCCTATGTCTATCTGTTTGTCCAGGAAAATCTCTATGCCTCCCATCATGAGACACATGAAACAGTTAAGATGAAGACCACTAATTACACAGGAATGGTACTACCATTTTCTTCTTTTTTGAGGGGAGAAAATTCAGCATCATCTCTTATTTCCAAAAAATGAAAGTTTTGTTTACCCATCCCTTTAGTCTTTAGTAGCAGTTGGATGCTTGGAGACCAGACCCGAGGATCCTCAGAAAATCCTAGCCTGAAGTCTGCCTGCCTGAGTAGGCTGCACTATTTGAACTTAAAAAGGTCCATAAGCCCCTCTGTAGATATGTTTATAGAAACCTAAAATCACATATTTGCACTAATGCTCTCCTAATATCTGCATGTTGAAAGAGATGACGAAGAATTCAGAAAAAAAAGCAAAATTAATGAGAAGAATTGCAACATCTGTATTTAAACCAGACCAATAGACAACCTCCCTTGGTATCACCCTACAGCACTCTGTGAAGCTTCTTAACCTGCAGGTTTACAGCAACTTCGGGTAAAGCATAGGCTGGTACTGGTCAATGTTTCTTTTACCACTACAGTGGCTTGCTTTTTGAAGGCCACACACATTTGCAGCTTCCCACCACAGCCTGTGGCAATGAGTTCCACCCTTTAATTATGATCATTGTGGAAAGCATCCTCTCTTGGATTTCATGTTTTAAACTTGTTAACTACTCATTTTATTGTGACTGCTTCCTTTGCTATGAAATAAAATGAAAACCATTCTTTATTCACTTTCTCAGTTCTGTTCATTGTTGTCCTGGGGCTCTGTCACAGTCCTTTTCCTCATTTGTCCCTCTTCCATATGAAAATCCTAAAGCCTTTCTTTTTTCTTTCCCAGTACAGAAACCATTAAATACCTTTGATCATCCTGTCACCCTTTTCTTTATCCTCCTATTGCTATCCTGTCATTTTTGAGATGAGATGACTGGAACTGTATTCAATATTCAAAATGCTAGGTGGGCAATGGATTTCTTTGGCAGCATTATCGTGTTTCTTCTCTCCTGTTTTCTGTTCTATTCCTAGTATTTCTTAATATACTGCTTTATTTTTTTGACAGTTGATGAGGATTTAGGTGACATTTTCATAAGGCTGTCTCCAAGCTCTCTTTCCCAACTAGTAGTTAATTTCACTGTGTGTTTAGAGATTTCCCAGGGTACAGGTAGGACAGCTTAGTCATTTAGCCTTGAAAACACAACTAAATTACAAGAGAGTCTGGGCTGCAAATGGGAGATTGTTGATAGAATTTTGTACTTGTTCAGTTCTGCTGGCAACTTTTATTCTTCTAGGTTTTGTTATACCAGAGGTTTCTGTCATGTCTGTGAGGCAGTGTGAATGTTCGCCACGGATCTCACCATTTTAGTGGGTTCTTGATTATTTTAATAGAACATTAATTCTAACAGAAAATTTGTTCTGGAAAGAGTTTATTCAATGACTTTATGAGAGTGTTTTGCTAATTTTGCCACTGTAAGGCATATCCTGACCAAAACCAAGGGAAACCAAACAAATGCATAATCCTCTGCAATACTGACTCAATGGAGATTTTATCCCATAGCCTTCAATATCAGGTAGAGATGCATAGCACTTCAATCCTTTTCAGAGCTGAAATTTGCTATTAGGATCATAATGATTGCTAAAATGGAGTTCTGGAGCTTAATGAAATCTGGAATTAAATAAATCACTTCAGGATTGTAAAAACCTAGCTGTGAAAGAGTTGTTTCTAAAGAGTGCTGACAGAATAAATATATTGCTGCAAGTCAGTCAGTCTCATCTCTGACTTTAAAATAATTGCTATGTTATATTTCAGTGATTGCTGTCAAAAATTCCTTAATGGGCCAAAGACACCTCGGTATCATACTACAAGTAGAGATATTTTTTTAATTAGGTTTTCATCTATCTCCTTTCATGAAGTGGTAGTCATTTGACTTCGTCTTTGTAACCAGAAGCTTTTATTTTCAAATTTGTGGCTGCACTACAATACAGAAGGTAGAGATCTATGAAGTTTTCCTGTTAATGCAGTTTTCTCTGAACAACATTTCTGCTCCTTACTAATTCTGTTTATTCCTATGTGTATTAGGCAGAGTTTTATTAGTATGGATTTTATATCTCTATTCCAGTCTAAGTCCTGGGGATCTTAGAAAGATTGACAGTGGAAACATTATTTCATAGCTGTGGTGGGCTGATTTTGGCCAGCAGCCAGGCACCCATCCATCTAGTCTCTCACTTCCTCTTCTCGGCAGAACGCAGGGACAATACATAATAGAAAATCTTACAGATTGGAATAAAAACAAGAAGATAATTCTTGATTACCATAATAGGCAAAAAAAACCCCTGACTGCCATAATAGGCAAAAAAAAAAACCCAGACAAAACTTGGGGAAAACTAATTTAAATTTTTGCCAATTAAAAATAACATAGGAAAGTGAGAAACAAAGACAACATTAAACTCACTTTCCCTCTAACATTCTTTTTTATAGGCTCAACTCCACTCCTTAATTCCCAACTCCCATAACTCCTTCCACTACAGCCTGCATAGATGGAAACTCTTGTCCCAGTCTTTCAGTTTCATTTTTGTTTGGAGAGCTAAGAGGGCTTCTTGATACAGTCAACTCCCCTGTTTGCTAAGGACAGCTGGAAATTACAAAGCTAGACTTTAATGTAGAATAATGTTTGAGTGCAAAGGGATAGTCTCAGCTACTAGATCACAAATTAGGTGGCCAAATCTATTAAATACTCCAAAAGATAGCAAATGAACTTGTAGTCATTTTTTGGAAAGACATTTAGGGACATGATTTTCTGTGCTTGTTTTGGAAAGTTACTTATTCCAGTATATTTTTTTAAAACAAGAAAAGAGTCGAACTTCTTTCATTTTCACTGTTCTGTGTCAACTGTAAGAGCTTGGAAATGTAGGTATGCAAGATAATAAGTTATGTAATAGCTCGTCTCATTGTTCTGACTCCCTGTGCACTCCAGGAAGTTTGATCTGAGCAGTTCAACTTCTGGGAGCCCATAAAATCCCTACAAATCCAATGGGGACATAAAAACATATTTTATGAATTAATAACCTCATAAAATGGAGAAGTAATCTATGTTGGACAAGTTTTGGTTTAGTATTTGATGGGTGACAAAATTACTAAATCCTTTATTCTTTTCCTTTTCAGAACATACTCAACATTTTTAGATATCTTGAGACTGCAAAAGCTGACCACCGACAGCAGGTTTTTAAATATCACTGCTCTTCTGAAAAGTAAGTGGTACATCCCATTTTTTTTTCTCTCTAATATTCTTGACTTGTATTTTATTCTTGTATTTATTATATGGACTATCACATTCATTTTCTGGGCCAAGTAAACATGAGTGCAAATTGAATAGTATGGAATTGCTCTTAAATTTCCCAGCTAGAATGAAACACATCAATATTACAGAACTGAGATAAAGCACTGACTCACCTATTTATCCCAACTTGTAGAGCCAATGGAACTGTGGTCACATCTCTGGATGTTTTGGGGAAACCCTTTTCCATTAAAATATTTTTAAGATGGAAAAATTTAATCATTTAAATATTTGTATGTTCTTGCTGGACTTAGGGAAAAGAAGCTAGAAGAATTTGGAAACTTCTGAAATAATAGTCTGAGGATAGCCTCTACATTTAGAGGAAAGTGTTGATCAATATTACAGATAGAAATGAGATAAAGCACTGACTCACCTATATATCCCAACTTGTAGAGCCAATGGAACTGTGGTCACATCTCTGGATGTTTTGGGGAAACCCTTTTCCATTAAAATATTTTTAAGATGGAAAAATTTAATCATTTAAATATTTGTATGTTCTTGCTGGACTTAGGGAAAAGAAGCTAGAAGAATTTGGAAACTTCTGAAATAATAGTCTGAGGATAGCCTCTACATTTAGAGGAAAGTGTTAGAAGAACTGGTAAGGACTGGGAAAAGTGGAGAGGAAAAAATATGCATTGGAGTAAGGAGGAAGAGGGTCCTTACTAAGAGGAATAGAAAAGAAAGTTCCTTTCTGTTCAGCTCTTGTTGAGGGAGAGCTTCAGAACTTATTAAAATTTTAGTTTTCCTGTGCATAAAGTTTAACTTTCATAAGAGACTGCATTTTAAAACAAAAGTTATTCTAAACAATGAAGTTCATTTATCCTAACTTCTTAAGTGAAAGATCATATATAGCCAGAGACTGCTGCTCCAAAAATAGCAATGGAGATTCTCACAGCACTACTAAATTTCATCTTTCTTTCTATTTTCATAAAATTGCTGTAAATACTATGTTATTTGCTACTTCTTGGAATATATTTCACTTATTTCACTTCAGGGTATCCAGTAAATTTTATGAAATGCAGTTCTTGGTTACAGGTTGGTTCAGTTTTTACAAACATGTCTTATTACTCTGTGGATGATTGGTATTGAAATTTTAGGACTTTCTTTTGCCACTACATATTTCTGGGATAAAGAGTATACATTGAATTTAGTTCATACAGCATCAAATATTTCATGACCTTGTATATCATAAGTAAGTATGTTTAGCTACCAGCAGTCTCCAAAACAAAAGTCTTCTGATGTATTACTTCTTATAAATGAAGAAAAAGTGATATAAAGAATCTGCACTATTTAATAACTACCCATAGGAATAAAAATCTTTGGATTTATGTTTATGAAACAGCTTCCTTCTTTCCTATTACTTGTTTGGTTGCTTTTCAGGCGTTTTAGGTATAAGCACACACACCAGTTTTTGAGTCTTATTTAGGGTCTTAAAGGATCCCAGGGTCATGGCTTCTATTTCTCTCTTCCCAGGAAGCAGAAGTACTGAATATATCACGTGTTACTAAGTGATCCACCTGTCTGCACCTCTGTGTGGTTCACTTTCCCATTTGGGCCAGAACACATCAGAGATGTGGATAACAATACAAGCTTCCATATCTGCTAGAGTGACCATTCAGTTGTATTTTGCTAAGAGGACAGACAGGCTAGAGCCGGCAGCTTCCATTCCTCTTGGATTTGTCTGTGAGATGCAGTTTTGCAGCTCTGTTCTGTTTACCATGAAAAGCAGACCGTAAGGAAAATGAGGCTGTTTGGCACAATGAATCCAAGCTTAATAATTGAATTACTGAATCTCTGTGGCATTAAGCATGTCAGGACTGTGCATGAACTGATTTATCGGTTCATCAACCCAGGAAATAAATAATAAATTGTGAGTCAGTCTGAGTGGAGAAAACAGAGGGTTTAATTTTGAGATGAAGCGCCGGGGAGGGGCAAGTTCCAAGGAAAAGGCTCCATTTCTGCTTAGACAAATTAATTTATTTTCATTAACAACATTGTGTTTTGAGGCAAATGCTATAAAAGCAAAGGACAAGGATAGGCATACACACACAGGTGAAGTAGTGGTGATGGTATCTCCTTTTATTTAGTAGTACGACATTGTTATAGTCACAGGGTAAATCCCCTCTTCTACTAAAAATATTGGAACACAAATCCCTCACCTCTGATCACAGTACCTATCAGCTTCCTTGGTTCTATGGTATCCCCAGAAAAATATTTATTAGAGTTTACTTCAAACTATTCAGTGTTCTCATAAAACATTATCCCTACACAATGTCAATGGAGCATGTGCTAAATGAAAATAACATAGAAAATACTTGGCAAGATGAGTTGTAGTTGAGGGAGAGTTTTTGCCAAAGATGTCAGCATTTTGAAATTTCAGATTTCAAAGGTTCACAATTAGATGTTTTCAGTATTTTGCAGGCAACCTGGAAGCTGACAGAATTTCCTTGTCAATGAAATTTGCAAATGATACCAACAGTCCGGACCACTTGCTCTATCAAGCACCTGGGTTGCTTGGTAACCCCAGCCCATCTATGTATAGCAACATATTGAATTTAGGGCAGAAGAGTTTATCTCTTCATCGAGAGAAAGAGGAATTGTGTTCTAAGGAGTCCTAATCTTTGAGGGAAATGTATCAGGAATCACAGCAAATAAGCAACTTCACTGTAAAAATTGATAACATAGAACAGGGGTTGTTGTTTTGGTTGTGAGTGTGACTTTGGTGAGACTGATACCCGAAGGCTGTGTTTTGGTGCCTCTCCTTTAAGAAAGGGTGCTGTAAAAAACATAGAGGGACAGAAGAAATTATCACTCCATCTTTCTTCTGTCCATTTACTTTGTAATTAGTTTTCTGGAATAGGGTTTGTTCCCCTCAGCTGGTATTATTAAAGTATTCTGGCTTTCTGCCAAAGTGTAGCAGTAAATAATATGGTGGTTGACCCTGCTGGTTTGATAATCTAGACTGGGAAGTACAGTATTACCCCCAAAAAAAGTGTGTAGCCTCCTTTTACATCACCTTCTCCCTGCATACTGTATTGTTGACAGGCAGCATAATTCCTGTAGTCAAAGTACTGATGGCAGAAAAACCTTTGATGATCACTATAATGTCCTATTCCACTGCTGTGAGAGTATCATAGGACAGATCATTTTGACTGATACTTTGTTTACATTAGGTATTTATATTAGTTAAAGGGGCCCTATATTAAGTTGCATTTAAAGAATTACGTAAAAGTTCCTGATATATTTATTCAGACTCTTGATATTTGCTTTTTGTTTTCTTAGAAACTGATGAATGACATTTCACATGTTTATATTTATTTATTTATTACATATATTAAGGTGATTTATTAGTCGAATTAGACATTTTTTGTACTGGGTGAACAGCTCAGTGTGTTTTTTTCTGTGCCCAGAAAAATTTTAGAATTAGCAGATTTCAGTCTCTGCCACAGAGCTTTTCCCTACAGTAGAAAGCAAGATTTTCTGCCTTTATCAGCTCTCAAGAGATAACTGTGCATGAGCTAGATATTGCATAAAGGTAACCTGAATAAAGTGAAGAAAATACCTCCTTAGAACATGCAGACAAAGCTACAGATATCAAACTTGGACTAAGCACTTCTGTCAGAGGCTGTTTTCTCCAGTCTCTTAAACTCTCCCAGCTCAGTGGTTTGATGGTCAGCAAATATTTACCAACAGACACATAATACTTGAATATTGCACGTTATTTAATGTAAATCCAGATATTGAATTTAAGAAGTTTGGAAGCACATTGTTATAAATTCATTTTTAATTTTAAATTATCTTGTTTGAAATGAAAGGATAATTTAAAATAAAAATATACATTTAAATTGAAAACATGCACCTATTAAAAATATACAAACAGCAGTTTCAGCAAATTCGATTCTTGTATTAAAAAATTATGCATGACTTCCTATGCAGGCTGCCTGCAGGACAATGGAAAATGCTCTACTTTGTATGGCTATTTGGAAACCCTTGAGGTGTTAAAGAAGTGAAATAGTGGCTTGCCTAAGGCGACAACTGTGTTAAACTTAGATGTTGATTTGTTTATTTAATAAGCATAACAAAAAGGCAAAATACTAAATTAATTATCTTAGTGAAAGTAAACAGAATTATTACTATAAAGAAAACCAATATTATTTCTTATTTAGGGAATTTTGGAACTATATTAAATGGACACTGAGATATAAAGGGAAGATATATTTTTTGCTTCAGCTTTTAAAGATAGCATCCAGGCAAATATATTTGAGTTCTGCTTGGTAGTTATACAATATGAAGAAAAAGGAAGATAAATGTGCATTTGATCTTTGTTTTTTCCTAGAAATGCACCTTGAGTCTTAGATGCTACTCCAGCACCCTAATGTAAAATTCTGTCCAAATGAGTGTAATGGATTTTCTTTCAGATATTTTTTCTCAGATTTCTAGCAGAATTTGTGTAGTAGAAGCCAAATGGTGCCAAATTCTTTGCTGTAGAAAAAGGCGTAGGAAAATTCAGATGAGTGTAGAAAGACTATAAATAAAAAACATTAGCCTCTGACCCAACAATTGTCCAGAAACAAGTGCAATTATGTAGGCAAATGGTGCTGATCACAATCTTCTCTCCCCACAGCGTGGCAATTGCCCGATATAGAGCAATGCTGAATAAATAGATGTGCTTTTGACATCAGCAGGACGGAATATGCCTGCCCACAGTGAGATAGAGCAGTCATTGACTGGGCTGACAGCTCTAACAAATAAAGATCAGGGCTCAACGGGAGATGTTGAGCACCTGTGACACTTGTCTTTGCTAATTCAGATTTTTGCAGTTGAATGCAGGAGTGAATATGAAGGGTCACAGTCTCCTGGTTGGGGCGGGGGGTGGGCAGCAGAGGGGATGTCTGTTCTAGGAAATCAGTTTTA